TTGATGGTCCTAGGATCCTCTGTTTCTGGACTGTAAGATTAATCACTTCCCTTTTTTTGTTACAAAACTTCTACCTTTACGATTGTGACAGTCGCGATTAGTCATGATAACAGTTATTCACTACTGACTCTTACGAATCTTATCCCCATCTCCTTTCACCAGACCCATCTAGACAAGATGCTAACAGTTAGTCACCACTGAATCTTCCGACTCTTAAGCAGTTTAGTTGTAACCATTGAGCCAACAAGGCTGCTTGCTCCTAGAAGAGTGCCTTACTGTTAGGGTTCCACAGGGCTCTCGAGTGGACCAGTAGGACTGTGGAAAGTTCAGTGTGCAGAGTGAACATAGCTGCTTGTGGATGAGCCCTTAGAATTTTCATAGGAACCCTAGGGGTGCCTGGCATCTTCAAGATGAGGCTGTAGCTGAAAGTCCCAAAATGGGCAGACAGAACTATCAACACTGGAGCTATTTCATATCATGAATCCCAGCTTCCCCATTGTTATTCCAGCAAAGCAACTGAAAAATGAAACTACTAACTCTGTAATACAGTGTGGCTGAGGTGCATAGAACCCAGATATTCTGACTACCCCCCCCTCCCCCCCGGTCCAGTGCTCTGTTCACTGTTATCATAGGCCCATGGGGGAGGTGGTGCTCTGTTTGAGGTCAGACTAAAGAGATGAAGTTTTTCCTTCCGTTTGCTTTGGAAGGACATGAACTTATTCTTTCAATCCCTAGGGTCGTCCCTAGAACATGAGGGATAAATTTAGGAAGAAGAAAGGCAATCTATAGTAGCTATTCAGGTCTTCTTAAAACCACAATGCAGAAAGCTTTAGATACATTCAGAGCTTCCAGTGAACAGTGTCAGTAAATGAGAATACTATGTTTGTGAGACAGTCCTAACTTGTGAGTTGATACAAGAGTGGTCAGTGCCTCCTCCAGTTGCCAGATTTTATTCTCATCTGAACTGCCTAATGGGATTGATTCACCATGGAGTGGTCACAGTTCACAACAGGCCAGAGAACCCGGGGTTTGATTTCGCTAGTGTCTTGTCTTTGAGGGATCTGGGCTTCTCTGTGTTTTTGAAGAATGCCACGTATGTTCAGCATGTGAAGAAGTGTGTGGGGAAAGCATTCTCTAAGCCATCCGTGCCTTCCCTGATCTGGGTGAGCTGAGCTATACATGGGGGCACATTTCACTCCTCCTTAGGAAATTTGAGAGACCCTGCAACATTCCACCCTGAGCTTTTGGCACAAAGTTCACCTTCTGCAAGAAGAAATAGGATGGCGGACATCAGGAACAAACCCCAAACGAAATCCACTGCCATTGAGTCAACGAGTCAATTCTGACTCACAGCCACCCTAAAAGACAGAGGAGAACTTACTGCCCAACAGGATTTCCAAGGCTGTGAGTGTAAACAGCAGCAGACTTCCGCCACGTAGCAGCTGGTGAATGTGAATCACTGACACCGTACCTCCAGTTGTTAGGTAGTGTAGAGCTGATTCGGACTTTGAGCGGCCCTGTGTACCACAGAAGGAAACGCTCGGTCACCCTCACAATCTTTGCTCTGTTTGAGCCCACTGTTGCAGCCACTTTGTCAGCCCATCTGGTTGAAGGTCTTCTGCTGTTTTGTTGATCCTCTAGTATATCAAGCACGATGTCCTTCTCCAGGGACTGCCCCCTCCTGATAACATGTCTAAATTATGCCAGACAAAGTCTCATCATCCTCGCTTCTTAAAGAACATTCTGGCTGTATTTCTGCCAAAATAGATTTATTTGTTCTTTTGGCAGTCCACGGTAGAGTCACTCTTTATCAATACTATAAGTCAAAGGTGTCAACTCTTCTTCAGTCTGCCTTATTCTTTGCCCAGCTTTCACATGCATATGAGGTGATTAAAAATACCATGGCTTGGCCTGAAACAAGACCTTCACCTCATGCCTTATACAAAAACCAATTCAACATGGATTAAGGACCTAAATGTGAATCCCAGAATTACGAAGGTCATCAATGAAAAATTCAGAACAAATGTGAAGACACTAATGATGGGAATACATGGACTACAAAACATTTTGAAAACCACACAAACAAAAA